CGTGAGCATTTATTTGGTTATATGGGAAGATTTTATGCTTATTTGATATATGAGGATATTGATTAATTTGAAAATTGGAAGATCCTGATTTTTGTATGGATTTGGAAATATTTGTGGTGATTTCCTCGGGGTCACTTTCCTTTTGCTCGATTTATGAAGTTTGGGAGATTTTCGAATTTTATCTTGGGAGAATGTTTGGATGAGACGAATTGATTTCATAAAAGATATCTTTGGGGTTTGGATACCGGCGTTAGGAGGTTATTTTTACTTGGGTTGATCCACTTATGAAAACATGAGAAAATGATACCCTTTCGGATGGATCCAAGGATCTTTGGGTCTTCCTTTTCAGGTCTTTCCGTTACGAGTTTTGAGGGTTGATCCGTCCTCCGTCTTTTCAGTGTTTTAGGTGGATCGGTGCCTCATCTCTCTCACCCCATTTTTGTTCCTTTTTTCCTTGCTTTTTGGTTCAGTTTTTTATGTTTATGTCCGATACATAAGTGTCCACGTATAGCCTTTTGCTATACGTGAAACCATCAAGCAAGGTCGCAAGAGCAAGGTCGGAAGTAGTTTGTTTTGGGGCGTAGGGTAGTGATGATAAAGGCACACTGAAGATAGAGCAGAAAGATGTCCTGTACTAGAACATCAAGATCCAGGTATTTGATGAACAATATGATAACGGTATCCTTCACCGACATAAGTCTAGCGGGAGTTAGCTCGAACCTCCTCAGGTGGTTGGCAGTCCCACGCCTGACAGCGTAATCGACTTGTGGACAATAAAAATTTTTAAAACTTATTTCAAAAAAAATCGCTATAAAATAAATTTTGATAATCTCTTTTTTGAGACTTATGTGCATGTCAAAAAAATAAATTTTAAAATACATTTTAAGATTGATTGTCTACCTGACGAATATTTGTTTAGGCTGGGAAATAACTCTCTAAGTGAGGTTTAAGATACACTTCTAGACGAGTGGCGAGTTCTATACATTCGGATGACCGAGTAGCCTTCGTGGACCCTCGAGTATATATATATATATCAAAGTCTAGCCCCACATGAGTGCTTGCGGTCCCCCTTACCCGAATTTTTTTTTGTTTTATCGAAGCTTTGGGACAGGGCACTCGTGTTTCTTTTCCTTTCTTTTGGAATTTCTCCAAGATTTTTGAGGATTTTTACTTGAGTCTTTTCTCGTTGATTTTCTCAAGTTTTCTGTCATGAGTCGTTGTTACACTCTTCTTCGGACTTCCTGGATGACGTTTCTTCCAAACTTCGTTTTTTGCAATGCATTTCAATTTGCTATATTTAAGGAACAGCGGATCTCACGGGCGTACAGGTTTGCTTTACATTTACAGCATTTCATTTCCTTGTTTATACCTGCTATTGTCTTGTACAGCATGTTATACTATTCTTGTTTCTACTTGCTATTGTTCTTCCTGTACAACATGTTATATTATTCCTGTTTTTTTACATGTTATTGTACCGTACAACATGTTATATTATTCTTGTTTCTACCTGCT